TTTTATTTTGGTTTCAATCTTCATTTTATATCAGCATTTATGCTTATTGTTTTTAATCTGAAATGAAATTTACATTCTTGGCATCTGTTAGAAACTGAGAATGCTCCTATGCTATCCTTCATGAATTACAAAATGAATAGGCCTCAGCCAGGGACAAAACTTCGTGTCTGTGAACTTCTTGTTGCTTGGCAACGTTTATTTACATGTATCAACCTAACTTTCAGTGATCATTTTTTTTAAGTTTTATTTAAGTTTCAGTTAGTAATATACAGTGTAGTATTAGTCTCAGGTGTACAACATAGCGATCCAATAATTCCATACAATACCCAGTGCTCATCACAAGTGTCCTCCTTAATCTGCATCACCTATTTAACCCATGCCCCACCTACCTCCCCTCTGGTAACCATCAGTTCTTTTTTTTTTTTTTAAGATTTTATTTATTTATTCATGAGAGACACACAGAGAGAGGCAGAGACACAGGCAGAGGGAGAAGCAGACTCCCTGAAGGGAGCCCGATGTGGGACTCGATCCCAGGACCCCAGGATCACAACCTAAACCAAAGGCATGCTCTCTCAATCACTGAGCCACCCAGGTTTGGTGGCAAGGTAGGGGCTGAAGTTCTATCAGTGCTAGCTAATAAGTTACTAAAAGGTGAAGAAGTATTATCACTTTGGATGGGAAACACTGAGAGGGGGTGGAAAATACAAGGGAAACCTGGAAGGAGCTTCAAAGTCAGGTGGATGTTTCTCATCTGACCAAAATGAGAATATGTTCCAGTGCCGTCGGAGAGTCCCTTAGTGAGAGAGATTAAAAATAGCAGTTGTGGGGGTGAGGGCAAATGAGATTCTGACAGAACCAGGAATCAGACTCTGAGAGAATGAGAAGGGGAGAAGGAAGACCAGAACACATCTGAACTCAATGGTCTTTGAAAGCGGGGAAGAGGAGAGAGGCTAGAAACAGAGGCCTCTTTTTTCATGGCAATGGAAAGGTACGGGAGTTCCCTTTTGGTGATTTCAGTTTTTGAAAAAGACGTAACACACTCTGCCCCTTACATTAACCACATACATAGGTTGAGGACATATTGCCCCCTTCACACACACACACACACACACACACACACACGCAGTCACACTCATGGCACAGGCACACATATAATCAACATACTCAAGAAGAAGAGGGGAGAGGCACCTGGCTGGTTCAGCGGTTGAGCATCTGCCTTGGGCTCAGGGCACGATCCTAGGGTCCTGGGATCGAGTCCCACATCAGCCTCCATGCAGGGAGCCTGCTTCTCCCTCTGCCTATGTCTCTGCCTCTCTCTCTCTGTGTCTCACCTGAGTAAGTAAATAAAATTTTAAAAAAGAAGAAGATGGGGGAAATGACTAGTTTATTTTGTGAGGAACCAAAATAACAACAGCAAGGGAAATAACTATGACTATGTTGGGACAGAATTCCATTCCTTACAGCTCATACTAAAGACTCAATTAAAATACAGTTTTTGTCCCAAATTAATTGCAAACAAGTCTTTAAAAGTCAACCAAAGGAATCAGGTTGATTATTTACCTCCTGTCCTGAGATATGACTAGAAGAAGATGAGCTGTATAGCTAATGTGGAAAGTAAAACTTTTCTGGGTTTTTTTTTTTTTTTGCATTCTTTGAAATGATGTGCAAATCAGAACCAACCTGAATTAAGCAGGCGATGCATAGCACTTGAATACAATGATTAATGGTACCTACACAGTAATTTATGGGAAAATGCTATTGAGCTCAGATATTATCCTGACCATTTTTACCACACACTATAGTTCAATATGTATGTAAGATATCACCTTTTTAAAAACAAATTTACATTATCTATTTTTTTCCACATTATCAATCTTAGTAGATAGACTTTTTTGACCATTTCTGGTACAAAGCAGTAAGCCTCATGTTGGTTGTGCCTGTACGATAACGTTTCTTTACAGTATCATGATGTTTTATGGGATCCTAGTGGAAAGGAGAAAAAGGATTAAAAGTGTTAAAATTAAGAAATTCATACACTATTAGTATAGGATCATCATTCTTATTTTTAGTCTGCCCAATTCAAAACCCCAAGACGGTATAAATGTATGTGTGTATGTGTTTTGCATTTTAAAAAATCTCAGTGGAAGTAGAGAATTAAAAATAACTGCAAGTACTTTATGCACTGTTGCCTGTATCTGTACTGATTTTTAAAAACCCTTACTAGTGTTTCATATTTGCTTTATGCCCTTTAAAGGACTCAGATTCATAATATACAAAGAAGTTTATGTGATATATAGAGCAGAGCCATAAACCATATTTTATGCATAACAGTGATTAAATGCACGCTTGATATATTTCACGAAGATGGAAACCATGTCGAAAGGCTTACATTTTGATAACTTTCCTTTTGGGGGGCATTTCTAAATTATTTAAGTTGAAGAATAAAATGACTTGTTTGTGAATTTACATGCTCTTTTTAATCATCTTTAGGTAATGCTGATATGGCAAAGACGCTAAATTACAGGCAGCAGTGGGAATCTACTTTGTAAAAGGCACAGAATCATTTTGTATATGAGTCCATGAGGAATATTCTGTTCAAGGAGAGGAGACATAAGAAAATTACCTAACTCATGAACCACACATTAAGAGCGTAGTCAGCTGTTGTAAATGCGTATCCAACAACAAACCATTATGTATCTTTGGCTTAATTATATGCGCTTATTACACACCTGTACTGGAGAGTGGAGGCTGCTATTTGCATTACTTGTGGTTTTCTCTATCAAAACAACATTAGCATTAGGAAGCTTATCAAGGTTACGTATGAGTTCTCTGGCTTGAGTTTGTAGTCCTTTTATTTTGTTCACAACCCAAAGAAGATTAGGAGAACAAATTAGGAAATATTTTAATCATCTTAGCAAAGAATCTCTAAATTTAGAAATGTAGTGAATTTATAGACACGGACAGACATCAGCAAAATTACTAAGCTTTTGTAAATCAACCTGACATTTAGGAAGAGAGTAAAAAAGTTATATAAATTCAGCATTTAATTTTTTCCCTAGAGTTCCATCTTAAAGGGTATTAATTATTATTATGATCATGTTAGTGTTATTTACTAGTACTTCAAAATAGGGGAAAATGTTAAACTACCCGAATAATTTATGATTTACAGTTTTTACAAGTCACATTAGATAAACAATCTAGGCAAAATTGTTCTGTATGTTTAAGAGCATCTCCTAACCAAATGGCAGTATTAAAACATTTATTGTGTAGAAAGTACGTTTTAAAAGTAGAGATATATATGTATCAAAAACAGCCTCAAAAGATCATAAGTGGCTCTAAAAAAGACGAATTTTATGGAGCAATTCATTTATATACATCATCAAAACTTGTTACTTTCACAAATCAGATTCTCCTACCGACTCTGATGTATGCTTATTTTAAAGGCATCAAAGTCATTAACCTGTCCTTGAATTTCACCACTGTTGATGCTTGAATTAATCTTTCCATGTCTTTCCTTTACTCCTGTCTTCCTTCCTTTCTAAAGGGGAAAAAAGTAAGATTCCACTAAAGAAGATAACACATGTCCTAATGAACATAATCGTATATTGTAATGAAAATAAAACCACTTTGGAGAAATAAACAACAAATGGTGCTGAATGCCCAGAGAAAATTAAAATTCTATTTGACATTCCCATGGGGTCTAATACCAATCCCACAGCTGAAGTTGGATAGTTTCCTGAGAAGACAACAGCTTAGTAAAATAAGGGGTTTGGGTCCATGAAAAATATGATGATGATAATAGCAAAAGAAGAAATACTAAATAATGTTATTGATCTATAGTAGACATGAGAAAGGAGCAGATGGTGATTTGGAAAAAAAAAATAGGTAGTCATTTTAGTAGATTCCTCTTAATATGAAACATGAATTGTATTCCTTACAAGCACAAAAAATCTGCAAACAAATCTTTAGAAATACCAACAGATTTTTAGAAATATAAATAATCCTCTGGTAATTTTCTTTTCTTAGAATAAAACGTAGGGTTAAATCTAAAGATAAGCAAATTTTTTCCAGCTCTTACATCATATTTCAAAGGTTCTGTGGCTCTTTCATTCACAAGAACAGACACTTAAATGAATACAGCCACTTTTTGTATTATACTGTAAGTTATAAACTAATTTGGCCTCATTTTATTAATATCTAAAGATTATTTTTTGACTCATTTTATTGAAAAATACTTATTTTTGCTCAACAATTATCGCAACATTTTTTTTAGGGATTGCTTTCAGAATGAAAACCATCTGACGTGACGTGACTAAAACAATGAAGTAATTTTTTGGAATTTAGATTACCTCCACGATGTCTATTACGTATTTTGCAACTCAGCAAATTATTTCATTTCTCTCTCCCTAGTATGGAAATTTAATCTAGGTATTTATTTCATTTTCAGTAACCTATTTGAAGAAAGACTACCCTTCAGTATACAGTATTACATTATGCATTCACAACTGATACTATAAATTATGCAATCTAACAAAAAATTATTAATGGTATATGGGGGGGTGATCGTGAAACCTCAACGGCTAGCAATAGAAAGCAATTTTCCCTGTTGCCCATCAGAAAGGAGAAGGAGCCCAGAGAGTGTGTTTAAACAGCTCCGTGGCATTTATTCTTTCGCACATGTCACTGTATATAAAGACAAACAACAGTAAGGCCCCCAAACAAACTGGAAATCTAAAGCATAAAGCATAGTCCATTGTTATTCATTTATTTACTTACTTATTATTTTTTCTTTCTTTTTTTTTTTGCTTTTTTTTTTTTGCTTTTACTCTTTTCTCATTGGAAATATACATATATTTTTTATTGGAGTTCAATTTGCCAACATACAGCATAACACCCAGTGCTCATCCCATCAAGTGCCCCCCTCAGTGCCTGTCACCCAGTCACCCCCACCCCCCGCCCACTTTTTCTTTTTTTAAAAAATTTTACCTAAAGTCCAGTTAAAAAATATGCAACGCTTCATAAATATGCTTGTCATCCTTGCATGGGACCCATGCTGATTTCCTCTGTATCAGTCCAATTTTAGTATATGTGCTGCCGAAGCGATCACAGGCCAGCTTTAAACATTGGCAAATAGATACTTCTAAACTACACCTTGGCACTTCAATACTTCTGTACTGAGGTCCATTTTAACATGCAATTTGTGACAGCAGAATAATGGGAATGGTCAGTTTACTGTGTTATACTGATGACAGAATTTGCCAGCGATTTTCCTCCGCTATTGTTACTGGTGCTCTCCACAAATGGAGAATCTTATAATTACAAAAACTGCCGAATGTAGGTTCTCAAGACATTTCAGCCTATTTAATATCACCTGATTTAGAGAAGAGATCCTGTGAGCCTGGGGGTGAATCCTTGTGCAGTCCTGTGTTGCTGAAAAAGGAATGTCCCACTGTACCCAGGAGTAGAGCACATGGGCACCCTGGCCAGGATTGTTCAGAGGCCTCCAAGGTCAACCCAACAGTCCCAGATGAGGGTGGGAATCGTGAACTTGTGGAGCTCCACCCATCTCTATAGCTGAGAGGTTTATTTTCCCCAGTAGCACTTTTCAGAACTAGGAGGTGAGGTGCAAAGAGCTGATGATGTTTTTTGTAGATATGGTTCAACAGAATGAGGTCCGCTGCAGTGGACAGGGGGTCTGGACTGGGTAGAAAAAGTGGGGAGTGTGTGATAGATCATAGGATCAAGGCTAGAGCAGCAAAGCCATTAAGGAGATCCACTGGGATAACACAGTCCTCCCTCCTCTTGTCTCATGCCCCCTCATGATGATAGCTGTCATCATACAGCATTTCATCTCAAACAGTGTCAGTCTGGGGCCAAATGTGGTTCAATTTGCAGAACTCTGTTTTGCAGAAAGTTTTTTTAATTTCTAAAAACATTTTATATAAACAATTCAGGGAAATTAGTTATATAGAGGGAATTCAGTATGGATTAGGACAAATCTTGTTATAATTTCTTGGATGTATGCTCCCAGAAACTATACTAAATCTCAAAGTCTCAAAAAAATCAGACTTTATATTAAAACATCCCACCCAGGATGCCTGGGTGGCTCAGTGGTTGAGCGTCTGCTTTTCGCTCAGGGCATGATCCTAGAGTCCTGGGTTCGAGTCCCACATCAGGCTTTCTGCATGGAGCTTGCTTCTCCCTCTGCCTATGTCTCTGCCTGTCTCTCTCTCTCTCTCTCTCTCTCTCTCTCTCTCTCTCCCTCTCTCTCTCTGTGTGTGTGTCTCTCATGATTAAATAAATAAAATCTTTAAAAATAATAATAAAACATCCCACCCAAAAAGATGAGCCTTTTCATAACCTATTTTTCAAATAGACCCCATTCCAATTCTATTAAAAGTATAGAATAACTCATTTATTTTACTTTATTTCCATTTCTAGTATTTCATAATGCTAAGAATGAAATTTCACTCACTACAGGTTATTCTTATCTGCATTTTTCATCCTTAAATTAATACATTGATTCGTCCTTAAGTTAATACACGAAGATAATATTCTTAGAACTTATGAATCTGTTCTCTGCCCTTTTCCAGATTTTATTTGATGTTGGCCTATGGTCTTGCCACAGTTTGCCACAGGAAAGGATTTCTTTTGCTTCCTTCTGAGTATTCAATATCTTTGGTACCCAGTGAGGAATTGCCGGTATAATCCTTGTATCATTAATGAAAATAAGACTGCTTTGCAGTTTTAATTTTCCCATATGTTGTTGGTAATGAGTGAAATAAATCATTACACACTGCATTACATAATCAGTGTAATGGGTTGAATTGTGTCCCCCAAAAAAATATGTTCAAGTCCTAATCCCAGGTATCTGTGAATGTGACCTTATTTATAAAAAGGGTCTTTAGAGATGTAATCCACTTAAGATAATGTCCTCCTGGATTAGGGTAGGCCCTGAAGCCAATGACTGGTGGTGTTTTTGTTTTTAAGGATTTATTTATTTATTTGAGAGAGAGAGAGAGAATGCATGTAAGTGAGCATGAGGAAATGGGCAGGGGAGAGAGAAACCCAAGCAGACTACATGCTGAGCGTGGAGCCTGGCTTGGAGCTCTATCCCACAATCCTGAGATCATTACTTGAGCTAAAACCAAGAATCGGACACGTAACTGACCACACCATGCAGGCACCCCTGACTAGTCTTTTCACAAGAGAAAGGAGAGGCAGATCTGGGTATGACACACAGAGGGACACATACACAGGCCGTGTGACAATGGAGGCAAAGGCTGGGGTGATGCAGTGACAAGTCAAGGAATGCCAGTGATTGCTGGCCACCACCAAAGGCTAGGAAAAAGACATGGAATGGATTTTCAAGCTTCCACAAGGAACTAATCCCATCAACACCTTGATATTAGACTTCTGGCTCTTGAACTAGAAGAGAATACATTTATTTTGTTTAAAGCCACCCAGTTTGTGATAACATGTTATGGCAGCCCTAGGAAATGCATACATGCTGTATGGGCAAATATGTAAAATAACTATAGTTGAGATTCATTTCTGGCAAAAGAAGAGTCAACATGAGCCAGGACTTCCCATATCTCCAGAAACAGAAGTGAGAAACTCCCACTAGGGTACCTGGAGAATTCTTTTTGATTATTAGATATTTGAAGACATTGACATACCTTTCCTCGTGGTATACTTTTAATTTATCCTCATCATTACCTAAAGTTATTAATAACTTGAAATAATTATGTTGCAAGTTGGAAGTCAGGGACCTGGGTGGCTCAGCAGTTGAGCATATCTGCCTTCAGCCCAGAGCATGATCCTGGAGTGCCAGGATCAAGTCCCATATCGGGCTCCCTGCATGGAGCCTGTTTCTCCCTCTGCCTATGTCTCTGCCTCTCTCTCTCTGTGTGTGTCTCTTATTAATAGATAAATAAAATCTTTTTTAAGTAAAGAAAGTTGGAAGTTAGAATTGTTGGCTGGAGAATTTGGGGTTTCATAGGAAAAATTCAACTCACAATGGAGTTTGTAACATTCCCATCTTCAGTTGCTTCCAGATTAATTTCTATTATGAATAGGAATTGGTTTTTCTATTAAAAATGAACATGTCACACAGGCATCAATATGGTTGTATTAGGAATGTTAAAGGTACACACACTCAGAGGAAAAAAACCCACAGTGTATAGATACTAAAACCTTAATACAACTGGGAGATTGCAATTTTCTACTTTTATTTATTTTTAATTTTTTAAATTTTCAAAAACATTTTATGTATTTGTATATTCACGAGAGACACAGATTGAGAGAGAGAGAGGCAGAGACATAGGCAGAGGGAGCAGCAGGCTCTCTGAGGGGAGCCTGATATGGACTTGATCCTCGGACAATAGGATCACGCCCTGAGCCAAAGGCAGCCGCTCAACCATTGAGGCTTCAGGTGTCCCCATGATTTTCTACTTTTCGGATGTACAAACTTCCTATTTTTTCTACAATGGGTATGAATTGCTTGTAAAATAAAAAAAAATTAATAAGGAGTTTGCTTAGTGCATAGCATAAAATTTACATTTTTCTTAAGACACATGTTTCCCTGATCTGTGCCAGGAGAATTAAGGCAATGGACCTCTAGTCTCCTTGTCTTGAAATTTTTTTTCTGTACACACACACACACACACACACACACACACACACACACATCCAACTAATAGAGGAGTGTTAGCTTTATCAGCAATGAGATGTAAAGGAGACATAAATCATGGATGTATCTGACATTTAACCAATTTAGATTCCTTTCACACCGCTTTCAATTTCAAGTGTGTCCTTTGATTCTCCATTTAGAGAAAACAACCCCATCTGCTGATCAGAGAACCTCTAACCAAGCCTAACCCATCCCCACAGCTCTTGGAAGCCTGCTTGGTCATGATAGAGTAAAATGTGGCTATGCAGCACACAGCTCAAGGGGTCACCTGTGGCAGCCCTGAGACTCACTCTGTTTTCTGGAAACACTCAGCATTTTATGGAGGCTTCAGCATTAAAAAATTTAAGAATGCCCTATTTTTATGGCATTACCAGTTTTTAAGAGCCAGTAATATTTCTAGGCCTCCCACTAATTTAAGGGCAAACAATATAATTAAAATAGCCTACAAGGCCCTACATGATCCAGGCCTACCTTGCCCGGTTCTCCCTTATTCTCCACACACCACCCTCGAGTGTGCCATGACCTTTCCTGCCACAAGCTGTTTGCATATACTGTTCCCTCTGCCTGGAATTCTCTTCCTCTCTACCTCTTTATCTAAATAATCCAACTCATACCTCAGTTTTATTTTTTTTTAAGATTTTATTTATTTATTCATGACAGAGAGAGAGAGAGAGAGGCAGAGACACAGGCAGAGGGAGAAGCAGGCCCCATGCAGGGAGCCCCACGTGGGACTCCATCACGGATCTCCAGGATTACATCCTGGGCTGAGGCGGCGCTAAACTGCTGGGCCACCGGAGCTGCCCCCATACCTCAGTTTTCATCTGGATTTTTGTTTCTTCAGAGTCACCTCCCTTTACCCTCCAGACTACGTCAACCGCACACAACATAATACTCCTCTCCTTCCTAGCACTCTCCAAGGATGAAATTTCCTATGAATTAGTATGACTATTTTATTGATACCTATCACATCCTCCAGAATGTAAGTTCTATGAGGACAGAGGTGAAGCTGCTTTTTTGTTGTGTTTTTTTGTTCACCGTAGAATCCTCAGCACTTGGACACTGCCTGGCGCATGTTTAGGCTCTAAATAAATATGTAATTGAACAAATATGTGGATAAATGAATTGGAAATACAAACTTTAAAATTTCTTCAAAGCTCCCAGTTCCTAAGAACGTCTCCTTCCAAGTCCATGAGACGCGAAACTACGCACTCGCTCAAATACAGATAGAAGGAGAGCTTTACAAGCGGTGGAGTTTTCGTGGTTATCCATAAACCAATGTTTAACCGTGGTGAGCTCCATCACTCCTTTTGCAGTACACCACCAGTAGTTCTCTCATGTATCCAGTTCCCAGCAAGAAATTTCTACAATTTCTTCTTTCTATGTGCATGATGTCTTACATTGTATTATTCAGTAGT